ATTACCATCACTCCTATTTAATATAGTTCTGGAAACAGCTGAGCAATTAGACAAGAGAAATAAAAAGAATAAGGACAGGAAAGGAAGAAATTAAACTGTTATTATTTGCAGATGACATGATTCTCTACATAGAAGACACCAAAAACTCCACTAAAAGACTTCTTGATTTAATAACCAAATTCAATCATGTAGCTGGACACAGTCAGTACTCAAAAAAATCAATAGCCTTCCTGTACACAAATAACAAACTCACTGACAGAGAAATTAGGGACACCATGCCTTTCACCATAGCATCAAAAAAAAAAAATCAGGAATCAATTTAACAAAGGAAGTAAAAGATCTTTACATCAAAAACTACAGTAGTCTGAAAAATGAGATTGAAAAGGATATCAGAAAATGGAAAGCCATCCCTTTCTGGTGGGTAAGAAGAATCAACATAGTAAAAATGGCCATAGTCTCCAATCTGTTATACAAATTAATGCAATCCCAGTCAAAATACCAAGAGCATACCTCACAGAACTAGAGGAAACAAACCTAAAATTCATTTGGAACCAGAAGAAGTCCAGAATAGCAAAAACCATTTTGGGCAACAAAGGGAAGGTAGAGGACATCACAATCCCTGATTTAAAATTATAATACAGAGATACTGTGATAAAACCGGCATGGTACTGGCAAAAACCCAAAACAAAACAAAACAAAAACCCCCCAAAAACCAAACAGACCTGAAGATCAGTGGAATGGATTAGAAGATGTAGAAGCAACTCCAAACACACTCAGCCACCTTATCTTTGAAAAGGGGGCCAGACACTTTCACTGGAAGAAAGTCTCTTTAATAACTGGTCCTGGGAAAACTGGCTTTCTACATGCCAGACTAAAACTAGACCCATTTCTCTCACCATACACTATCAAAATAGATCAAAGATCTAAATATTAAAGCAAACACTAATTCTGCTGGAAGAGAGAATAGGTAGAACTGTTGAAAACATACATATAGGCAAAAACTTTATGAACAAAACCCATGTTGCATAGGAAATACTACAAAGGAATCAGCTGAGATGTCATCTTATTACAAAGCTTTTTCACAGCCACAGAAATCACCAACAGAGCAAAGAGACAACCAACAGAATGGGAAATACCATTTTCCAGCTGTTCCTCAGACAAAAGACTGATAACTGGAATATATAAAGAACTGAAAAAGTCAAATCCCCCCAAGTTTAAAGACTCAAATATAAAAATGGGTCAGATGAAATATTCACTTCTCGGATAAAGAAGTACAAATGTCAAATAAATATATGAAAAAAATGTTCAATATCGCTGGTCATTTGAGAAATGCAAATTAAAACAACACTGAGAGCCAGGGAGTTAGCTCAGTGGTTTTGCCACCTGCCTCACAAATGCAAGGTCCCAAATTCAATCCCCAGCACCAACAAAACAAAACAACAACAACAATAAAAAACACTGAGATTCCACCTTACTCCAGAAAAAATGGCTGCTATTAAGAAATGAATCAATAACAAATGCTGACAGGGATGTGGGGAAAAAGGAAGACTTCTCCACTGTTGGTGGGATTGTAAACTGGTGCGACCACTGTCAAAATCTAGGATTAGCCAGGCGTGGTGGTGCATGTCTGTAATCCCAGCACTCAGGAGGCCGAGACAGTAGGATTGCCATGAGTTTGAGGCCAGCCTGAATTACATAGTGAGACCCTGTCTCAAAAACCAAAAAAACCACAAACAAACAAAACAAACAAATAGAAAACTAGGACTAGAAGTTCCCTTTGACCCAGAAATCCCCTTTCTGGGCATCTTCCTGAAAAAATTGAAAGCACCATACCACAGTGATACATGCACACCCATGTTCATAGCAGCACAATTTGTAAGAGCTAAATCTTGGAAACAATCCAAATGAAAATCAACTGATGAATGGATAAAGATGATTTTTTATACAATGGAGTATTAGTCATAAATAAGGATAAACTTGAGACATTTATAGCTAAATGGGTGCACATTGAGGCCATTCTCATAAGTGAAATAAATAGGACACACATATGTAACTACCAAATGATTTCTGTGGTGTGAGAAACTAAAAAAGGACCAAAATATATAACAGATAATGTGAAATAGAAAAAGTTTAAATAGTAAGGGGCAAGGGGGTAAAGGTGAAAGAAAGAAAGGGAAAAGGGGAAAAAAGGAGAAAAGAAAAAATAGAAACAAAGCTTTTGTAAATGAGGGGAAAAAGTTGAAGGGAGGCAAGGGGAATGGGAAAGAATTAGATATAACACGTGCAGTTATAATTTTCATATAACAAATATGATCATTATGTATATCTAAATTGTACCATTGTACTTAATTAAAAATAACAATAAATGTATTAATACTAAATTCATTAATTAAACAAAAAGAAGCAAATATTGGGGTAGAATGATATAGATCGCTTTAGGTTTCTTAAAAATATAAATATAAATTGGAATTCTATGTGTTAATTCAAAAAGTATATATCTAAGTGTGCTGTATCTTTTTACTTTTTAAGAAGGATGAGCATGTATGATGTGAATTCCTCCTAGTTTCTTAGCATGCATTCCCAGAGCAGAACTGTTTTACTAATTATTTGTAAAGATACCAAAGGCCCTGTAGCTCTTTACCTTTCATTCAAGAAATATTCTCAGCAGGCATAGATATTGTGGCTTAATCATGAGTTTGTAAGTGCTCAGACAACACTGGATCAAAACCATGTTAATTCACTCTGTAAATTTTACATAGTCAAATGTACTTCAGACAGATCATCTTTATGCATAACCTTTTGGGTTTTTGTTGTGTATTTTTTTTTTTTTTTTTTTTTTTTTTTTTACAGTTTCTCTGTTCTTCAGGAAAATCAGAACCAAGCTAATTGTTTTTAAGCACATGGATAAGATGAGCTGGGCCCTGTTAGGTCCACTTAGTTTAGGCAGATGAGCACTTTCACCTTGTGGCAAGGTCTATTTTGGGCAAGGTTTGCAGAAAGGACTGCCAAAAGGGAAAATTCTCAGCTCATGAGTACTGGTGACAAACAAAGCTGGTGGGCTATCTACCTTCCGCTCGACAGCACCTTTTTTTCCAGGAAATTTCTTAGGTATAGAGAAGAAACTCCTATTTATATTTCAAGATACTTATGGAATAGAATCTTTCTGTCTGTGTAACAAAGGATTTGGGCATGGGACATGGGAGAGTGTTGGTATTTGGTCCTGTCCTCCCGGGATCCCTTCCAGATTATTGTACTTAAATAATTTATTTTAAAATATTATTTTCCAAATAGTTTTTTTTTGTTGTTTTTTTTTTTTTTGTTTTTTGAGACAGGGTTTTACTATGTACTTGAGACTGACCTGGAACTCACTATGTAGCCCAGGCTGGTCTCGAACTCACAGTGATCCTCCTGCCTCAGCCTCCCAAGTACTGGGATTAGAGGCGTGTGCCATCATTCCTGGCTTCCAAATAGTTTTTTTAATAGAAAAGAGAGGAAACTGCAGCTTTCATTATTCTTTGATTGGCAAGCTCTCCAAATGACGAGTTCCACTAAACTCTCATTTTGGCTCTGAATAGTGGATTTTGAACGTTTCTCTCAGCTTTTAATTTTCTACAGCTGTGCACAAGGAGAGATTGTAGGTGTAGAATTATTGCTCATGTCATGTCTTAAACAGTTATGCTCTCAGTGTTTAAAAAAAGGCTGGCATTGTTTGCACAAAAGTTTGTGATTCCCTCACTAAAGTAGTGATAAATTTACTTTTATTGAGTAAATGTCTTATGTCATCTTATAATAAAAGCTGAAAAAAATCAAATAATCTTTTTTGATATTTGCAGTCTATAGCTATTTACATATTTAAGGGATTTCAGTGTTTAACTTCAGTTATTTGAGGTTGCAGAGTTCTTGATTTATGTTTCTCTGTGCTGTTTCCTCAAGAACTCTACATAGTGTGTTATGTTTATGTATTTTCTGTATTTGCCTGTGTGATAATATTTTTATGTTGTTTTCACATATAAAAAGGTGCCCAAGCATAAGATTTTTAACCTAGAGGATTATTCTTGAAAAAAAAGAGCCCACTTTAGTAACTCTGTTAATAATAGTGCTAAATACTATTTTTAAAAACAAGAAATCAAAATTCATACAAATATAAAATAAACATGCATAAAGATTTTATATGACTCATTAATTAATGAGGAAACAAAAAGATGTTACAGTTGTCCCAAAGGAAAAGTCAAAGAACCGCACATTACAAAGCCAATAGAAAAATGCTGAATCAAATTACAAATAGATGCAAAATGGGTCAATCTATGAGGCAAAAATCAATTGTATTCCACTAGATGTGATGAATTTGCATTTTTATGGACACAAATAATTTATATTATTTCAATTTTCTATAATTTACCGAGTTGTAAAATAGCTGAAAGACAAAAATTGATATAGCCTGGTAAGGGGGTGCTAGAGAAACACTGTATTCTCTTTGGTTCATTATAATGTCTTAAAAATTTTTTTTTTCTGTACAATGATAACATTTGTCTTTAGTGTATTTGGTATAGTTTTAAACATGTTACCTGTCTTAATTCAATAAGCCTTCATCAAATTATCTTTATTTTAGAGATGAGAAAATGAAGGCCTTGAGATTTCAATTTGTTCATGATAAATGAAGGAAGCCAAAATTTGAAAAGAATATATGTCCTACCCTACATATGTAACTACACATCTACGCACAGAAAGATACTAGGACAAATGAATGTGTTCTCTATCACTGGCTTATCCACTGGATATCTATGATTTATGTTAAGGGAGAAAAGGAATCTGCATTGCAATGTCTGTGGAATTATTTTGTTTCTATAAAAATAAGCAATAGGAACTTTCAACCGTTGCTGGCAGAAGTGCAAAATGGCTGGTATACTCACTTGGAAGATCACTAGGAGTTTTTTTCTCACTCTTTTTCTCTTTCTTTCTTTCTTTCTTCCTTCCTTCCTTCCTTTTTTTTTTTTTTTCAGATAGGGGATGCTTTGTTGCCCAGGCTGATCTCAGAGTCACAATCCACCTGCCTTCATGTCCTGAGTGGAGAATTACAGGTAATTACAGAATTACCAACATGCACTGCTATGCTGGTTGTTTCTTTCAAAACTTAGCACACTCATCATTTGATTCATCAGGAACACTCCTTGGTATTTACCCAAGTGAGCTGAAAGTAGATCCATATGACCACCAGTATATGGTTGTTTATAGCAGCTTTATCCATAATAATATTTTACCAGCTATATTGGTCTCCTTTACCCTAGTCAAGTTACACATAAAGTTAACCATCACAGTAGAGAGCCTTGGACGCATTTATATGCTAACCTGAAGGAAGCAGTAGAAGAGAGATGGGAAATGGGTAAGTGTGAGATGGGCTGTGAATTACTAGGAAGAGGGCCCTAAGACGTTGAGGCATGAGAGCCAGAATACAGGTAGGAAGGGTAGTTCTTATTTTTCTTTTTTCTCCAGTACCTGGGATCAAAATCAGGACCTTGCCCTTGCAAGGCAGGCACGGTGCCACTGAGCTAAATCCCCAGTCATAGGAAGGATAGTTTTTAAATAGGACAGGAGAGTCTTAATTATAACAAGGGACGGAAAAAGGAAAATTGAGATGTTTTTTCATCTGACAGTATCCTTTATGTGATAGGATGTAAGAGTATCTGCTGGGGATGGAGAAGTTAAAGAGGAGATTAGACATTTGAAGAGAGTGGAAAAATGATTAAAAGAAAAATTTAAGAAGTGAAGTTCAAAGTGGGAGAGCAAACTGACTAGGAAAATCCTGTGGTTTTTTTCTCAAGTATTTTTAGAAGCTCAGATACATTCATGGAGCAGGTAGGTGACTGGGAATACTGGAGATTAGTCAGGTAATGTGAAGAATTGAAAGCAACATGGAAACAAAATTGTGTAGAGTGAGCAGGAAGCTGGGAATAAGCTGATATCTGTGAAAAGGTGGAGGGCCAATGAGCAGGAGGTTTTGGTGAAGTCACAAGAGTAGGAAGCTCTAGTCTAAATTACTGTTATTTCAGGAGATGACAAACTCCACTAGATGACCACCCACACTGGAAAAGATGGAAAGGGTCTGAATAATGTACTGTAATTCAGGAGAGCTATTCTTTTTCAACAGTACCACAGGTATTTCCCACACTTTATTCTATTTATAGCTTCAAGAGACCCTATCTTCTTACTCATATGCCATTAAACCAATAACATTTAAAAATTGCATAATCATAATTGTGCCTACTGGTGCACATCTGCAGTCCTAGATACCTGGGAGGCTGAGGCAGAAGATTCACAAGTTTGATGCCAGCCTGGGCAATTTAGTAAGGTCCTGTCCATAAAATAGAATTAAAAAATGAAATAAAATGTGGGGGGATATAGCTTACTGTGAGGTCCTGGGTTTAATCCTCAGTACTACAAAAATTGCATAATCAGAAATATCTTTAGAGGGAATGACAATAAAAATATTATCTTTATCCAATGACCATGCTCAGTTCCCCATTGCAATATCAATGGAGAGAAAATAATATGAAGATGAAATTGACTTCAGTGACATTTGAATTGCAAAAAAGCCTTATGGGCCATGAGAAATAAGAGAAAATGACTCTATTGGTGGTCACTGATTAGCACATTAAGAACTTTTCAGTCATCTGCATGCGTGGTTCCCTAATATTTTATTTCCCATAACAAATCTGTCTTTCTAATATGTTATTTACCTGGATCAGTACTGGTGCAAACCAAAATGGAGATGTAACAAGTACTTTGGATGACTTTTCTTTCTCTTGTTACCTGCTCATAGAATGGTGTGATTAAGCTGCATAACTCTCCTGGCAACAATGATAGGCTTTCATAAGACATCCTGTTTGTGATTGTTCCTATCCTTATTCCTAATGCCAACTATTCCAGGTTCTTTTGAACTCAGGGTTGCCTTTCCTCTTGGAATAGACCCATTCTTTTAAGTCTTTTCTTGGCTTACAGTTTGTACAGGTTTTAGTCCATAGTTGGCTGGCTCCAAGGCAGGTTGGCACCACAGAGGGGCATCGCAGAGGAGAAATAGTTCATGGCAAACAAAAGACAGCCAAAGCAGCAAGCAAACAAGTCCAAGTGACCTTAGTAGCTTCTTACTGCCTCTTTTTATATTTGATCTAGGCTACTGGGCTAAGGGTGGATGCCAAACCAATCAGTGGACTGGTTTAGTAATCACACACTCTTAATCCCAGCCTCACACACGCTACATTCAGCCACCTCTGAAAAACCCCCACCTTTGACTGCATGAGGCTTTGAGGGGACATCTAGACACAAGCCATAACACTGAGTTTCTGCATTCATCAAATAGGAATAATAATATTTAGTCATAGCTGGTTAGAGGATGTATAATTTAGAACAGTCTGCAGCTCAAGGGAAGTGTTTTATAAATGTTAGCTTTTATTTATATTTGTGCATCTAATTTCTTGGGCTCCCAGTTGTCCAGCTTCAAGGCAAAACTTCCTCCTTTAAAGACTGGATGTGGAGCCTGTGCATTCATTCTTCTAAACACTGCAAGCACTGTCATTTACCAGGTTCACCTCCCCAAGGTCATGTCTGGGCTACAAAGAAATTGTTGCAAGTTCCACCAATCCTTCTTGGTCATTGCTTATCACCTTTGTCTGTACCTCCAGTATCACAAGAGTCCTAGATATTGCTTTATTCTCTACTGAGGAGGTTAGCAGAGCTTAGTATTTCATAAAATGGACTGAAGACTTGAGTTAGAAAAACTACAAAGCTTTTCCCTGTTGCTCCTCTAGCCACTGCAGTTTGGCTTCTGTTTCTTTTGCCTTGGTTTTGAAGAGTATACAAAAGTAGAGAAAAAAACCCGAATTCTTTTGTCCCACAACTCAGCCAAAACCTTTGCCAATGTGTTTGTCAATCACATTTCATTTATTTTATCCCTTTTCTGGAGTATTGGAAAGCAAATCTTAGACATCACGTCACTTTACCCATCGAAGCTTGACTATGCATCTCTAAATGATAAGTATTTCTAAACATATGTATTTTTTTCACCATGGTATTTTCACACCCAACAAAGCATCACAATTTCATGTAATGTACCATCCCTATTTAGGTTTCCCTTCTTGTCTTAAAAACGCATTTGCAGTTGTTGGTCAAATCGCAGTCACACATCACATGCGTGAGAAGTGCTTCCTTCTTTTCCCTTCTGCTGTAGCTTCTTCCCACTCTTCCTCACCTCCTCCTTTGAGACGCAACTCTTGTATTTATTTGTAAACTTTCATATGGGAAAAGGGAAGGGGAGCGCTTACAGTCAAACACTAGATGTCTTACATCTGGAGTTGGGTAGGTTACTGTTAATTTGTAGCTATAATTCAAAATCCGTCCCACCTCCACCCTTTCCAGAAATTGTTTGAGGAGGTCACAGAGAAAGGAAGCCCATGTTTTCATAAGAATGCTGATAGCATACATCCAAAAAGTGACAAGCGAATTTTGTGAAAATAGGGAATGATGACAAACAAGATGAAATATACTTTTGAAAACAGATTGAATTATAGCTTTTGAAGACAAGAGAAATTACAGTAAAGAAGATTAAGTATGCATCTGAAAAGAAATTCAGACACTATATAATTGAAATAAATCACCATATTCTCATGGTTTATAAATTTAGAATAAGGATATAAAACTCTTTTGATTATAGCTGTGCTTAATTTTCTCACCATTCTTCCCTCAGTGCACGGTCAAGTCTTCACATTTATGTTTGTGCACTTGTAGGCTATAATTATACTGAAGGAACACTTCTGAGAGGTTGTGGTAATTTGACTGTTTTTTTTTTCCACATTGAACGTGACCCCCACATTCTGCCTTCTTGCTAAATACTTTAGCCAGAGTGATTTTTAAGGTAAATAACCTAACCCCTGCTCATTAGTAGTTTCTCAGAATAAACCAAAATTTCTTGGCTTATAAAGCTTGAATGGCTCTCCTCCTGCCTATCTGTGCAGCTTTATTTGGACCATCTGCCTTTCCCCCACCATTGCTTCAGGCAGAATAATCTTATCTCAGTTGCCATAGAATGTTACCTCCCCTTCCTATGCCTGATTGGAATACCCTCTCCCAAATCTCATCCTCCATGCACGTTGGGTGGCTTCTTTGTTACAGAACCATATTCTATTCTTTCCAAGCACTTATCCAAGTGTGTGATCATTAATTTATTAATGTGACTATGTGGTTAGATCTGTGTTCTCCATTCAGCCTATATATTGCCCAACACATGTAAATGGTGGTCCTTCTGTTAAACTTGTTCAGAAAGTCAAATCAATGTCTGTATACCGTGGTGGAGGTAGAAGGGTCACAGTCAACACTTTTATGACAATGCTTAACAAGAGAAAAGCACAGGAGATTTATTTAGTCAAAGTTTACATGACATGGGAGCTTTCAAATTAAAGACTCAAAGATCTAGAGAAAGCTGTCCATTTTTATTCTTAGATTAGATGAAGAGTGGAAGCTTGCGTAGAAATGTGATGGGCTAAAAAAAAATATGATCTGACATAGGAGACTGAATGGGGGAACTTAGCAAGGGCTGTCTTTTCAGCATCTCTGGCCTCTTTGGGTAGCATTCTTTCCGCCTGGACATGGGGCAGGATCCTTCTACAACGAGGGTCTGGTAGTCTACTTTCAGATAAAATAAGTCAAAGCATTCTTTTATGGCCAACTTCTCCACACAAAGTCAGCTAAATGTTAGAGTAATATGTTTAGCCTTTATGGGTTGCTTTGGGGGAAAGGATCCTAGTTTCAGTGACCAGCATTGGGGAGAAGAATTCTACTTTTTTGAACTTTTGGGGCGAGAATGAGGGGTGGGAGATAGAGAACAAGAAAAGAACTTTCTTTTCCTGAGGCTCTTCTGTTGTCCTTTAGTTCAAAGTACTTAAAATACCAAAGTACCATATTGTGGGGTACCCTTGGCTGGGCCTCAACCCCATTTTATAGCCAGCACACAGTAAAAAAATATGTATTTATTGACTGAATAATCAAATGATACTAGAGATAGTTTTTATTCATCCTCTTTTATGCAGCT